TGACTGCTAGGCACCTCTCCCTCCCTAAATAAAGCCTCTTGGATGGTCCACAGGACCAGGGAGGGCAGTTTAGAGAGCATCGCCCTGTTCGTGAGCGAGACCGGGAAGGGGGTCCTGGTGCAACAGTAGAGCTCGGAAAGGGGACTGGGTTTTGGACTCTGAGGACCCCCTGGCCCTACCCATCATGCTGGCCGGGGGCCCCTGGGAGTCGGAGTCCCTAAAATGAACTTTTCTGAGCTGTGGTCTGGCATGAGGACTTCTGTGGTTCTTGTTTAAAACGATCTCGTCATTTAAGGATCGGGCCCTCGGGCACACTCCCGCCTGCACTTTTGCCCTATTGGTCTGGGTCACGGAAAGATCCCGTGCAAAGAGTGGGCGGCCGATCTGCCTGGCTGGCTGGCTGGGGTGCTGCTGCCGAATCACAGCCGCCGACTCTTGTTCCTCCAGTCCTGCAAGTTGCCACCATGACATCAGGGGGTGGGGTGTCAGGTTTTGGCCTCCTCTTGTTTCAGAAGAGTGTAAGGGATCTCCAGCGCAGGTTTATTTTCCCTGGCACAGCTTCCCTGGGGGGCGGGGGAGAGGGATGGGCAGAGAGATCTCCTTTCCAGGCTTCTGCAGCGACTGCTTTCTGAGTCTCCTAAAAGGCCTTGTTACCTTTAAGAAGGGGTTACTTCTCTTCCGTAGGCTTTTTCAGGACCGACAGCTCTGGGCACCAGTCTCTGGAAACTTTACTTTTCTGGACTACAATGCCCAGAATTCTCCAGTGTGCCAGCTTGGGGAGCCTGGAAGCTGTCACCTAGATGAACACTCCTCCTCCTTCCTAGCTCTGGCCCACACATGCAATGGACGAGGCTCATTTCAAGAGGGAGCAGCAAAACAAGTGTGTGAAATACCAGCAAAAGAGTGTGGGCCAAACATTTAAGGAACAGAAACAAAAGCACGGGGCCAGCTGCAGGAAGTCAGAGCTATGGCATGAAGGAATTCCTGTACGTTGAAGCCTTTCTGTTGCACAAGGCCTTCTAGGCTAAAAAATCTCATTTTTTAGCCTGTCAGAAAAAACACACAATTCTATCTAAAAATAGGATTGCATCCTAGTTTGGAAGAAACTACTGTATACTTAAAAGTTTCATAGTTACTTGTTGGGGAAGATGTAAGCAAAGTGTTGCAAAGCTGCGTAGATGTATCAAGTAATGCCTTAGGCGCTTTGATTGCTTTTTAATTTAAAGCATTTTGAAAGGACTTTCGACATAGGTTTTTCAGGTTTTATTCTATCAATCTTAAGCGGTGCTGGTTTTGTCTTCTGAGTTTTTAAAGAAGTCTTTCCAAGGCTTAGTGTGAGAATTAGCCAGTAGAGGGAACCAGGAGAGAGTCTTTCCCTGTCTTTTCCTGACCCGTCGGTAACACCACCGTGGCTGAAGACGCAGGGCACTGTATTACTTGTGGGATTCAAGGCAGCCTGGCCGCTGAGCGGGAGAGAGCGCCATCCGAGGAGTTCCTCTTTCAACCCGGCTTTTGGGCTCTGAATTGAAGGTGCCGCTTGTGGAGATATTTTTGTTCCTTTGCAAATAGATGAAGCACCGCTGATGCAACATTTGATGTATTACTGAGGGTTGTTTTTTTTTTTAAAACAAACTTATTTTGAGGGTTAACCTGTCATGCAACTCTCTTAGATCCCAGGGGCCAATTCTCCTCTGCTCCCACACCAGTTTTCCCTCCCCAGAATTCTGCTGTTGCAAGTTTGGCCACTACCAGTAAGCGGCTAATACATTTCTGCACCGCAGCGCAATCTTGAGCGCCGTGGATCTTCCGGGCGGCACCTCTCCCCAGGCAGGCATCCTCCAGATGTCTGGAATCCCAATGCCAAGTGAGAGGGAGGATGGGAGTTGTAGTCTGGCCTCCCGGAGGGTGCCTGGTGCTGGAGAGGCTGCTCCAAAGAAGTGCAGCTGATGGGGTGCCGGGTGATGCAGTGACTCATCCTGCCTCACATTTTGCTTCCCTTCAGGAAGATGTCGCTGGGGAAGAGGAAGAGCCGAGGCCGCCAGGAGCCATTGATGTACCTGCCGCCGGAGCCTCTCTGCGACGGAGGGCGCGGCTGGCAGCCCGGCTCCGGATAACGGCCCACTGGCTCTTGATGGGCGTCGGTAAAATCATGGCAGTTGCTTTGCTTGCCCTGGCAGGTAGGTGCCCGTGGCGGCATGGAAGGCCCTTGGCTTGTCTCGTTATCTCTTTGGGAAGATGCCCCCGCTTTGGTCCGGGGGGGGGCTGCAGCCCAGAGAAGTCCCTTCCCCAAGTCCCTTGGCATCCTTGTACACTTGTGCCTTTGAGGTGAGGAGGGGCACAGAGCGGGAGGAGGAAGCATCCCATGTGGGGCAAAGGGGGATTTTAAAAGTGGTCAGGCAGAGAGAGGGAGCCGGGAAGCAAATTCCTATAGGGTATGATTGGGGGGGCATGTTGGATTTTGGGAAACCTGCCCCTGTGGACTACAAACACCCCCAAGAAAACTTGAGATAGTCTTTGGGGGTGTCGTTCAAAACAGCAGCTTCCCTCTCGCGCTTGCGCTCACCTGGGCTGTCCCTCGCCTGTGGCTTTTCTATCGGAGCGTCAAGGGGCAATTTCCCCCCCCACTTGCCTGCTGCCTGGGAGAGGACACCCCCCCTCCCACCGGCTGCAGGAGGGTGGCCATGCCTTCCCCTTCCTCTCCCCCAGGGATCACCCTGCCGTCTGCCTCCTCCGCCCTCTACTACCTGCTTTTCGTGGGACTCTGCACCTGGTGGGCCTGCCACTTCCCCCTCGGCCCCCCGGCCTTCAACGCCTTGTGCATCGTGGTGGATGTCTTCGCGGGCGGCCACCTGGTCTGCCTCTATGGCTACCAGACGCCTTTCGTGCAGAACCACCTCCCGCCCACCAGCCTCTGGGCACGGTAAGCAGGAGGGTGTGTGTGTGTGCATGTGTGAAGGTGTGTGTTGGGGGCATGGCTGGGATTGTTAGGACAGTGGGGGGGGGACTGCGCCCCACCCTGATGTTTGGGAACAACAGGTCCCATAATTCCTCAGTCTCAACTATGCTGGCCGTGACTGATCAAAGATGTGATTCCACTACATCGGGACAGAGGGGGGCATCATTATCCAGGTGTTGATAAGCAACCTGCCCCCAGGTGTTCTGGACTACAAATCCCATCATCCCCAGCCAGAAGGGCTGGTGGCCATGAATTAATGGAGTTGAGAGTCCCAAGCAGAAAGGCAGAAGGCGGGAAGAGTCACCGCTTCCCTTGGGGCGAGCCGCGCCGGGGAGGCTGGCTCCTGGAGAGCGGAGAGGGACGCCGGGCGACACCTATGCAAACAGGGAGGCAGCTGCTTTCTCTTTGAAATTGGCTCAGGATGAAAGTGGAGGGACTTTGGCCCCTTTGAGCCTCTCTGGCCCTTCCCTGGGCCCCTCCCAGAGATGAATGGGGGGTGTTCCCGACCCTTTCTCTTCCTGCAGGGCCTCCCGTGGGAACGTCCGGCTGCGGGCAGGTGCACGGGGGGGGCACTTCCCCATCTCGTTCTCTGTCCCCTTGGGGTGTGTTGCAGAGGACTTGTTCAGAAACAATGTGTATTTGGGGGGGGGAGAGAGAGAATGCACCTAGCGTACAAATACATACGGTTTGCCCTTCGTTGGCTGAGCAAAGCCCAGAAATGATTTCAAAGACGGACTCCAGAAACCTGGCGCAGGTCCTCCTTCTTTTGCCCATTGTGCTTGCACGGGGGGGAGGGGGAGGGGAAACCGAGCCCTGCCATTCACCCGCCCGGCCTGACCCAGAGCGCCAGTGTCGTGGGTGAAGAGGGCTGGGCTGGGCAACCCCATGGATGGGTGACCCTGAGCCAGTCCCCTTCCTCCCCTTCTGCAGTCTGCCTCTCAGTGGCGCAAAGACGGAGCAGAAAGGTATCCCACCCATCAGATGAGATCAGCATTTAGGCTGTAGCCAGACCTGACGGCTGCTTTTTCAATTTGCCCCCCCCACCCCCACCCCCCCGTAGATTGTTTGGCTTGAAGGCTGTCATCCTGCATGAGGACTGCAGCAAGCCCAACAGGCTGGTCCTGGACGTCAGCCTCCCTTGGCCAGTCTACGTCAATCCTGGGATCCTGTTGCTGCTTTATTATGTCTTGGCCACCCTGGTGAAGCTCCACCGGTCTCACTCCTACGAGCAGGTGAGCGGCGCCAGCCCAGCCTCCCTCCCTCCGGCAGCCAAAGTCTGGCCACTTGGCTTCTGGCTAAGGGTCGGGAAGGCCCACACGGACAGAATCCTACCCCTTCCCGGGGCTTCCCTGACAGTCTTCCTTCCCCACTTATTATTTTTAAGCGAAGAGATGCCGAAAGCGCCTCGTCGGAGTTGATGGAGCTGGAGAACTGGTCCATGGACAGAGATGGGCTGGCCGAAGATGCCAAGGTGAGGAAGCCCACACGACGGGCACGTGGGAGAGCCGTGGGATCTCCCGATTTGGCTCAGTTTATGCCTTCCTCTCGCAAGTGGGACTCAGGGCATTAGGGTCCGGAAAAGTGTAAGGAAGTTTAAAATCGCACCAGTAAAAGGAAACCAGGGAATTTGTTTTGCAACAGATACACACACAGAGGGACTTCACCCTGACTTTCCCGGGTTCCAACAGCCTGCTGCATTTCTCCAGACTTTGGCCCCTGCAACTTGATGTCCATGTGCTTCCTTACTTTGCTCCCTTCCCTTTTATTTGTGTTTGTATTTATTTAGTCATTTACTTTGCAGCCCATGTTGATCTGTGGAACCGAGGCTTCGGGGGCAGATCCAGAGAACTGTACGGTGCATGACCTTGGGGAGGCCGAGCAGCCAGGTAAGGGGCGCTGGGGTGGCCCTCAGGGGTTGCCATGGGGTTGCCACCAAAGCCCTCGTCTTTGCTCCTTTGCCTTTGGTTCCAGAGATACAAAGCGGAAAGATGCTTTTGGAGCCAGTGCTTCCTTGAATGGCATGGGCCAAGGGAGGGGAAAACCTTCTGCCAAAGGGAGCTAGCTAAAGGAACGCCAGTTTCCCACCCACTCCTCTGCAGCAGGATCCAGCCTGCGAAGGGCTCAGAAGAACCTGGAAGCATCTGCCAGCACAATTTGGGATATAAAGCTAATCGGGTGTAAATATGATCTGTATGTAATAAAATACAGCGGTTAGTCAGGTCCAGAATTAGTCAGCAAAGCTCAACCGCTATGTCTTTGGTCCTGGGTCACAGGGAGTTCCAACTCTCTCCCACCATTCCTGATGTCCCAGAGTATGTTTCCCTACCTTGGCACCTCCTAGGTGTATTGGACTACAGTTCCCATCAGTCCCAGCCAGCACTGGTGCAGGATGGTGGAGTTTATAATCTGACACATCCAGAGGAGGCCTCCTGGGCTCAGTGAAAGCTTTCCTGGACTTAAGGGAAGTAAAAGTCATGTTCTAAGCTCCTTCTGGAAACCACTTTTGATGTGGATCATGGGAACTGGAGTGTGCTGGAAAGGCTGCCTTGGAGGAAACCCTCTGAGGCTGGTTGGCCCAAAGGCAATGTTTCCTCCCAGTGGCCAAAAGGCAGCCCTGCAGGGATCTTGAGGCTTAGCTTGGCTGTCCAGTTTCCCTGGGTGTAAAAGGATCTTTGGACTCCTGTGGCCTGAGCCGCTGGCCTTCCTCCCCTCGTGGTCCTTCCACGTGCAGAGGTTGGCATGGGGGTGGGGTCCCAGGGCCAAATACGGGAGAGCGGGCAGATGGGCCTGCCACAATGGAGGGTGGCTTCAAACTTGGCTCAGAGGACTGGCCGTCGCTCCACCCGCCCAGACGGCTTCTTCATCTTTCTGTGGGGAGAGCCGGAAGGCTGGCCTCATGGCAAACCCTTTCCTGTCCACAGCCGGCCGGCCACGGGCGCACCGCAAAGAGAAGCTGCAGCTGCTCTCGTCCCTGGGCCACGTCGTCATGAACCAGAGCTACGTGTGCGCCCTCATTGCCATGATGGTGAGAGGGGAGGGCCTGTGGGGGGGCAGGAAGGGATTAGGGGGGTGGGAAGGATGAAATGGGAGCCAGGGTAAAGAGTCTGAAGGGGCAAAATTGGGGAGCAGCGCATGTGTGTGGTGCATGTGTGCGCACGGGGTGTCTAGTAAGACCTCGCCACTCCAAAAGAGGTGGCCAGATGTTCTAGCCTTAAGGAACCGCAGTGGCCGAGCCCCATGCCTTCTGTTTTCTTCTTCTTCTTCTTCTGCGCTGGCGGATGCTGCCCCTCCCAGGTGTGGAGCATCACCTACCACAGCTGGCTGACCTTCGTGCTGCTCCTCTGGGCCTGCCTCATCTGGATCGTCCGCCACAGGCGCCACTTCGCCATGCTCTGCTCGCCCTTCCTCCTCCTCTACGGCGTCGCCCTCTGCAGCCTGCAGTATGTGTGGGGCATGGAACTGGAACCCGAGCTGCCCACCCGGGTGGGCTTCATGCCCCTGGAACAGCTGGGGCTGGTGCGGCCCCCCTACCCCTGCCTCTACCTGGGAGCCAAGGTAGGGACCCTCCCGCTTCGACTCCGCACCTGCGGCTCCCCTCTCTCTTTTTTTGTTTCCGGCTGGGCGGGTTGGGTTAAGCCCTTGGGGGGACTTTTGCAGAAGCCGACGGCCGCAGGAGGGTGTCCCCTGCCCTTGGATGTACAGTATTTGAAAAGAAGCCCCTTTGTGCTTCTTGGGAGAAGGAAGAGGGCTGGAAAGCCCCTTGTGCTTTGTAGCAGCCCCGATGGGTGGGGATTGGGACCCTGGTTCCTGCCGAGAGGAAGCCTTTCCCAGACTGGGACCCTCTCTTTCTCAGCTGCCCCCCCCCCCAGTCTCCCCAGCCTTTGGAGTCCAGGCCTTTCCCAGACCCTCCCGGCTGCGGCCACTCCCTGGCTCAGAGAAGCTCTGACCCCAACCACCCACCAACCCACCCGCCTTCCTCTCCCTTTGGCCGCAGCTCCTTTACACCCTGACCTTCTGGCTCCTGGTGCGACAGTTTGTGAAGGAGAAGCTGCTGAAAAAGAAGCCGCCGCCGCCACCGCCTGCCCCCTTGGTGGAGGTGACCGTGGCCGACGCAGGTGAGAGCGCCAGGGGACCCGAGCCGAGGGGCTCCGTTGGTCAGAGCTGGCTTTGCGCTGAGAGGCCAGAGCCTGTCCTGTTTCGGCAGGCGGCTTCCAAGTACCAGGGGACCCGAGCCGAGGGGCTCCGTCGGTCAGAGCTGGCTTTGCGCTGAGCGGCCAGAGCCTGTCCTGTTTCTGCAGGCGGCTTCCAAGTCTAGCGCCGGGCGTTGTGTTCCTTGTAACAGGCATATCGGTGGGCTTTTTTACCTCCGACATCCAGGCCTGCAAAGATTTAGGTGTGGGTTGTTTTTTTAACTTTATTTTTGTCCCATCGTACAACCAACGCAGGAGTCCAAGATGTTTTTATTAATTCCCAGCCGTTCCCTGCCCCTCGTTCCCCTTGCTGTGGCCTAAGCTCCAGCCTGGCCAAGTTCACACACAAAAAGACCCTCGCCTTCAGACTCCTTAGACATGGTAAAAAGAGTTCTAGAGAGTACCCCTGGGCATGGGCAGAGTGCCTTTCCCTCAGCAGACGCTGCTGAAGGTCCCCACGTGGAGCCTCTTGACAAGATTTCCGTGTTGGGGAAGCTCATGGCCTGCACTTTTGAGGGCAGTGAGGGAGAGTCGCTCCCCCTTGTTCCCCGTTTGGGGAGAAGGGGGAGAGAGGTAAACCCTAACCTGTTTCCTTGCCTGGAGCCACGAGAGGCACATAAGGCCCCGGGTTCCAGTCCAGGGCCCTCCTTTTTACTGAGCAGGATGAGGGAAGCGCCCGCCTGGAAGCAGCTGAGAAAAGCTGGCCTCTCCCAGGAGGACACGGACTGGCCGGGCAGGAGCTGTCCTGTGCTCTGCAGCCACCGGGATCCTGGCCAGCCTGCGTACTTGTCTTTTGGGGCTCTTGTGATGGCAGGTGAGGAAATCTTGGGATGCCCTGGATTCTGAGCCCCCCTCCCCGTTTGCCTCTTCCTTCCAGGGGCGGGCCACAAGCGCGACGTGCTGAAGGTCCTGGGGGCGTCCGTGAGCGGCTTCTACGCCAAGTTCTGGATCTTGGTTTGCGCCGGCATGTTCATCGTCGTCAGCTTTGCCGGGCGGCTGGTGGTCTACAAGATCGTCTACATGTTCCTCTTCCTCCTGAGCCTCACCCTCTTCCAGGTTCGAGGGCGGGCAAGGCAGGCAGGCCAGGGTGGGGTGGGGTGGGTGGAGGAGCAGTCCGGATAGCGGGCGGTGGCGAGCTTGAGCCGTTGTGCCAGCAAAACAAGGACGGCCGAGGGCCCTGAGAACCTGGCAGCAATGCGTTCGAACTCTGAAAAACTGGGCGGGTTGCTTTATATTTTGTATGAGACCCAGACATGGCTTTGTTCTTTCTTGTTTCTAAGCTCTGCCGCAGCTTGCGGCAGAAGGGAGGGCAAGCCTCTCAAAGGCTCTTGGACTACAACTCCCATCAGCCACAGCTGGCGTGGCCAGTGGTGAAGGGTGATGGGACTGTCCTGCAGTTCCACCCGAAGGGTCCCCTCCGTCCCTCCAGCGTCCAGGCCAAGAATGTTTGGGAGCATCACAGCTACGCCCGAGTAGTAGAGTAAACAGGAACCCATAGCTTACCTTCTGCCGTGCGTCCGTCTGGAACTAGCTCAGAGCTACTGTCCCTTTCACAGAATCGTACAATGGAAGGGTTGAAAGGGGTCCCACGAGGTCATCAAGTCCATCCCCTCGCTAATGGCTGGGCCTGCAGTGGCTTCCTTGGATTCTGGGTCTCTGGGGTGAGAATCCCTGAAGTTTAGAAAGGGTCCTCTCTTCTCTCATCTCCTGCGTATGCTCTCCCTTCTGCCGCGCTTGCTCTGCAGGTGTACTACACTCTCTGGCGGAAGCTGCTGAAGACCTTCTGGTGGCTGGTGGTGGCCTACACCATGCTGGTGCTCATTGCCGTTTACACTTACCAGTTTGAGGACTTCCCCATGTACTGGCGCAACTTCACCGGATTGACTGACGAGCAGTGAGTCGGATCTATGCCCTCGGTCTCCTGCTTGGGGGGGGGGAGTCACAGAGATGCGGGGGAGCGAGACTTCCTTCCCCCAGAGCCTCCCCCGACCCCAACTCTGCCACCTCTCTAGATCTCTCCTGTGAGCCAAACTTAAGAAAAGCCCTGCCGGACTGAAGGCAGGATCCACCCAGCCCTTCACCCAGCTTTCCCTGCAGGCCAGGGAGAAGCCTTTGGGCAGCCCGCCAGCAGGAGAGGCGCACCGTTGCGTCCTTCCCAGCGGCCGTTCCTTCCCTGGCATTCTGCCATGGGTCCTGGGGGGTCCTACGTAGCCCATCAGGACTGTCCTAGATCCGTCCTCCAGTCCCCATTTTAGAGCCACCTCAAATAGTCGCTGTTCCCATGACTCATGGCAGCAGGTGCCACAAACGCGTTGTAGCCGGAAAGGCCCCTAAGGTCATCTAGTCTAGCCTACGGCAGCTGCAGCCTCACGGATGTGAAGAATTAGAACAGTCTTTGGCCAACCCTGAATCCCTTCCTTGTGGCTGGGTGCGGCTGGCCGATCTCTGACGCCTTCCCTCCTCCGTCTCCTCCAACGTTACTCTTTCTCTCTCCCCCCTCTTCCCTCCCTCCAACACAGGCTGGGTGACCTGGGTCTGGAGCAGTTCAGCGTCTCAGAGCTTTTCTCCCGAATCTTCATCCCGGGCTTCTTCCTGCTGGCCTGCATCCTGCAGCTGCATTACTTCCATCGGCCTTTCATGCGCATCACCGACCTGGAACACATCATGGCACCAGGGCGGCGTGGCAGTCCCACACTGGGGTACGTCGCCCTCCCTTCTGGCAAGACGTGGCCAAGCCGGGCGCTTCCTCAAGACATTGGACAGCCACTCTCCCTATCCTTCACCTGGCTGTCGTAGAATCCATCCCTTCAAGGGGGAAGAGGAGCGCTGGGCTGTTGAAAGCTCAGGGAATCAGTCGTTAAAATGGAGGAAGTCCCCTGGAACGGGGTTACCTTCCCGGGTGACCAGGTTGTAACTAAGCTGTGGTTGGTTGCTTTGTGGCGTTATGGCATTCTCAGAGGCATTGTGACAATAATACATCCGGTTCGATGCCATGTTCTTGTCCCTGTTAAGTATAAAGGGAGACATTTCCACTGGAGAGTTGTGCTGCGTTCTTCCGTTGAGCCGGCAGTCGTGATCCGATACCTTCACGATGTCCCTTGGATGGTTTGTGCTTGATGGAACAGGGATCACGAGGAAGGCGACCGCGGTGCCCGAGGGCAGAGGCTCTCAAGCTGGGCTTGCCAGATGTTCTTGGACTGCAACTCCCAGAAATCCTGGCCAGCCCAGCTGTTCTGGGAGTTGCAGTCCAAGCATATCTGGGTGACCCCAGTTTGAGAGGAAAGAGTAAAATGGCTGAGTTCCTTTTTAAATAATAGCATCCAAAACTTCTGACTGGGTTCCTGCTGGCCCAGAAGTGCTTCAGGTTTGTCTCACTCCTGGAATTGACCTGTTCCCCCCCCCGCCACCGCCG